TTAAGATTAAAAATTTAATTATTTTTAGAAGTCATAACTGATATGTTTTTTTTCTTTAAATTAATTATTATTTTTTATTTTTAAATTTATTATTATTGGTTAACTTTAATTATTTAACTTATAATTAATTTTTTATCTTTGTTTTTTTAGAATAATATAAATAAAAACATAAATCATTCATAAATTATTAATTTTTAAAGAAAGTCAAAGAACTAAAATTATGTATAAATGGTAGCAGTAGTTACCTATTAAAAAATGAAGAGGATATCAAACACAAATCTAAATTTGCAAAATTTTGTTTGAAATTGTCTCCTAGTCAGCATGTGTGAAGATCAGTTTTTATTTCTAGAAACTTGTTTAGGTTTTGGTAATCTCTTTTCTTCATTCTTCTTAATATTACGAAAATTTTGTTTAGTTTGTGATGGCCTCTTTTCTTCATATCTTTTTATATCAAAAGAGCTCCTATGCCGTAGTACAATTGTTTTGTTTTCAATATAAAATGTGTAGGTGTTTTCCCTCCCATTATGATGCACATTCTTATCATAAAGCCAAGGTTGTTCAAGAAGAATGTGTGTGACATTCATAGGAATAATATTACATGATATAGCATCATTATAAGCACCATAATTGAAATAAATAAGGTATTGTTCAGTTATCGGAATTGTTGTGTTAGTAATCCAAGCTACCTTGTATGGTTGAGGGTGAGGTTTTGTAGGGAGTTTAAGACACTTCACTATTGATATTAATACAACATTCATGCAACTTCCACTATTGATAATGAACTTTTTTGCTTGATCACCACAGCGAACCAAAGTTTAGAATATTTAAGTTTGTCGCCAATCTTCTTCCTCAACCGTAGGTGCTACCAAAATATGCCTAACAATTGATAAAAAGGAAGTTTCTTCCTCCTCATCATCTACAAGATCATCATCCATGAAGATTCCATAATCAAAAGAATTTTCTATTGTTTCCTTGTCATGATGTTCTTTCTCATGTACTTTTTCCATGCAAAGGTTATTTTTCCTTGGACATTGATAGCACATAAACTAGCGGTAGCGAATAGACCTAGTTTTTAGTTAATTTGGGTGTTTAAATTTAATTAATTAATTATTTTTTAAAATATAAATATTTATCTTATTAAAGTAGATTTTTAAATTTTAAATTAAGATTTTAGTTTCCAAATATAAGTTAGGATTCTAATTTTTTTGTTAAAAAATTAAAATTGATACATAATAACCTTATTATTATATTTCTATTTTATAGGAAAAAAAAATTATGCCTAAAGTTAAATGGAGGAAGTACATATCTTGGGTAAGAAATAGCCAAATAGGAGGATCAAAAGAAAAATCCCCAATTACCTACTTCACTGTAATCGTCTTTCCATAGCTTGAAGCTAAGAATGAGAATACGATAACTAACAAATTAAGTCTTTGCAGGGCAAATCAGTAGTCGCCCTTAATTAAGAGTAATGCCGAAGCAGTTGTAGAATAAAGGCATCAATGAAGAGACATATAGAGTACTAAAAGTTATAAGCCTAATTTTTTGTCGGAGTTTAAACACCAACTATTGGATAGAGGGGCTTTTTCTAATATAATGATTAGTGATTTACGGTTTGGTATCATTAAAAAAATATATTGTCTTTTGTGACACCCTCTTGTTAGGATGGTTACATTAAAATAGTGGCACTCTCTATTATAGTGGTATAAAAAGTGTCACAATTAAATATTTTTTTTAGTGTAATTCAAATTGTAATTTTTTTTTTTCAAGTTTTTCTTTGCTTCTTTTTCGGCCCTCTATTCTTACTCTACTTATGATTCACACTGAGCAAGTGTATTCTCATTTTATTTTCCTTCTTTCTCAGGTAGACTTTGCATATGAGAGTCTAGCTGCAATCACTACTTTTTCTTTTGCACTCTAGGTCGTTATTGGATGTGAAA